AGACAGCCAAATCCTCAGAAACTGGCTGAAGCACCTGATGAAAGAGCTCAACAACTGCATATGCTGACGCATTTACCCTTTCAAGATTGGTGCCCCCAATGCGTTGCTCATCGATCAAGGCCAGACAGGCATTTGAGAGACGGTTCAGTCAAGGATTCTGGTGTTGCAACAGTTTCTTTTGACTTTGCCTATACAAAGGCGGTTGCTCCAGGTGGAAACGTGCAGGAGACAGAACAGGTGATAGCTTTGGTTTTGGTGGATTCAATGACAAATTTCACAGGATGCGTCCCGATCTCAAAGAAGAATGACTTTGATTTGATGGTGCGTGAAATTTTGCAATTCACCCAAGTCCTTGGCCACAGTGAATGCACCTTTTTGTGTGACAATGAACCAGCAATCATGCAAGTTCAGAAGCGTGCAGTTCATGCAAGACAGATGATGGGCTTGGTGACTCACAGCAAAACTCCAGCTGCTTATGATCATGGGAACAGTCTTTGTGAAAACACAGTGAATCGTGTGCGTGGACTGGCAGGAACCTTGATGCACTCTGTCCAGGAGAAGCTTGCAATTCAGCTGAACACCAACCATGGACTTTGGAGCTGGGCTTTGAGACACTCCAGCTGGCTTCTTAATCGTTTTGCGGTGGTTCATGGTGCTACGCCCTATGAGCTGGTGTACCACAAAACCTACAAAGGCAAGATGACAGAGTTTGCAGAACCTGCATTTGCATACACGCACACAGCTTTGAAGGGCAATCCTAGGTGGCAACGAGTCATTGTGCTGGGGAAAACTGAAGCTCAAGATACATATGTGGTTTTCACTGGACAATCAGTCATGCTGACGCGCTCGATCAGGCGTATCTCAACTGACTGGAAGTGCCACTTGGGTTTCTTCTTACACTTCAATGCACCGACATGGAGGTTCAAGGCAGGATTTGGAGGACGTGTTGTACCTACAAAAAGGGCTGTTACCGCCCAACCTGCAAGCTTTAGTGCCCCTCAAGGGAATGTGTTGCCCTCTTCTTTTCATGACAAAGATGCGGAAGATGTGAAACAGAAACAACTTGAGGAAAAGGCAGAAGAGCGTGAGACGTTTTCCATGGGTCAGGAAGACCATCCCAAAGAACCTGAGAAGTTTGAAGTGAAGACAGTGGAAGGATTGCAAGATGCTTCAATTCCAAAAGAACATGCAACTGGCTCAGAGCTCTCACAGCCAGTGCAAAACCGAAAAAAAAGACCAGGTGAAGTTGAGGTTACAAGCGTTTTTGATGATGCTGATGCTTCCTTTTTGCCTTCGATGGAAAATCAAGTTGATGTTTCTCAAGATCCTGGCATGTCAGCACCAGTGACACCCCCAGTGATTCCTTTGCAGCTGCCCCCAACACCACGGCAGCAGCATCCCACGAGAACTCATGAGATGGAAGAGTTGGAGGACCATGAGTCTAAACGTGCCAAGCTGGAATCTCAGAAGAAGCAGAAAATCACTCAAATCAGGGAACAGCATGAGTCAATGATCAGAATGGTCAAGTTTGGTGAGGAGGAGTTTGCAACAATGGATGACTATGAGCATGAGCTTGATGTCAACGAAAACATCCCAGAAGTTGAGTTTTGGGAGGATGAAGATAAAATCGAGTTCAAAGAGGTGCCAGACGCCTTGTGGTCAACAGCTTCTCTGGAAAAGCAGCCACCCTCGCCAGAAACATGGGTGGATCAGCTGGCGGACGAGGTTGAAATCCAGCGCCTTCTTTCAATGGGTGTTCTTCAGAGACAGGAGGAGTGCCAAGATGAAATCTCAGGCACTTTAACAACACGTTTTGTGTATGACTGGAGGATTAAAGAACATCCAAGTGGAGCCAAGATGTGGATGAGACGAAGTCGTTTTGTAGCACGGGAGTTTGCAACAGACCGCAGACCAGATACATACAGTCCTGCAAGTGGATGCCATTCGACAAACCTCATCCCAATGCTGTACCTCAAGATGTTGGCAGACAGTTTGGATAGCGTTGAAGGTTTGGGAAATGACAAAGGTAACCCATACCAAGTGGTTTTGGCAGCCTTAGATATCAAGGACGCCTTTCTTCAGGTTCCACAGGAAAGACTGGTGATGGTTTCCCTTTACAACCAGCAGTATGTCATTCGACGCAATCTTCCTGGCCAGCGTCTTGGAGCAAAGGCATGGTATTGGTATTTCAGAAAATACATCAGTGAGACTTTGAACTGTACTTGGTGCGTGGAACAGCCTTGTCTTGCAAAATGCGTAGCTGAAGGAGTTTCCAACTGCTTTTTGATTCACGTGGATGATCTTCTTTTTGCTGGCAGCCGTGATTTCTGGGAGAACAGATTTTTGCCAGCAGTTACAAGCAAGTTCAACGTGAATTTCAGTGAAATCAAAGATGATGGCAGTTCCATTTTCTTTCTCAAACGACAGTTGCTGAAAGTGAAAGATGGGTTGTTGATTGTGCCAGGCACCACAACTGGCAAGATCGTGGCGTACTTTGAGAAGTTCTTTGGTGTGGCCCGACACCAAAAGATTCCATGTGACAACTCAATTCAGAACGATGACAAATCTCAGTTGCTGAATGAAGGTGACAGCAAAGCCTATCGCAGTATCATCGGTCTACTCCTTTATGCAGCAAGAGACCGTGTTGATGTGATGTACTGTGTGAAGGAACTTTCATCATTCACGTCATGCCCTACGGTTTGTGCGTTGCAGAAAATGAGAAAACTTGTAGGCTACCTCAAGGCCACAGGTGACATGGGCATGAAGCTCACCTTGCCGGAGTTTGGAGCTGGTAAGTGGAAAAAGGGTGGTGAAAAGTTTTGGAACGTTGAGACCTTCACAGACGCAGACTGGTCAGCGCATAAGGCACACCGCAAGAGCACAAGCTGCGCTGTTCACTTCATCAATGGCAATTTTGCATACGCTTCAAGCCGAACCCAAAGAGTTGTATCATTGAGTTCAGCAGAGTCAGAACTCCACTCAATGATTTCAGGTTGCTCAGACGGAATCTTTCTGAAAAGGTGCATGCAGTTTCTCACAGGTGATCAGGTCGAGCAGTGGCAGTGGGTTGACAATTCCGCTGCAAGACAGTTGATCGAACGTCAAGGAGTGGGGAAAATCCGTCACCTATCAGGAAAGATTTTGTGGATGCAGACTTTGGTTTTGGAAAAACAAGTTCAAGTGGGACAGATTGCAACTCAATGGAATGTGAGTGACATAGGAACAAAACCCTTGTCAAAGCAGAGACTTCTCATTCTTCTTCATCAAGTTGGAGCATGCGACCCTGAGACGTTGGATATGATAGGGCAGGAGGAGTTTGACAGGTTTGAAGAAAGAATTGTTGGACAGCAATCAATGAAACGTATGACGAAGGCTATCATGCGTATGGCATTGATGTGGGGCCTTGAGCCTACTTTCAACATTGGAGCAGAAGCAACAAGCACTGAGGAGGTATGTCTTCAGGTTCAGGCTTCTGAAAGTGGCAATGAAAACTTTTGGTTGTGGCTTGCGTGGTTTGGACTTTTCATACTTTGGATTGGTCTTGCAACAGTTGGATATTTTGCATGGCGCAGAGTGTCCACAGACCTATACCATTGTTGGAATCAAGTTGGTGATGAAGATGGATACATCGCCAAGCAGGAGAAACGCATCGATGACTTGATTGTGAAGTTGGAGCGCATGCAGATTCAAATGGAACAAGACTATGCAATGCTTTCTGACCGAGTGGAATCAACCAGCAACGAGGTTTCCATGACGCATGATTATGCATCAGGTTTGCACTATAGCCTGGTGGAACATGGTGGATTTCTGAGAAATGGGTGTGGGTTGAGCCCAGAACAGTGGGTTCACCTCACAACACTGGAAACAGCCAATCTGGTTTCTGCAAGGACACTTGGATCGGTGGAATACATGAGACTGGTTAGACAGCGTTTTGCCCCCCAAGGTAATGCAGATGAAACAGATGTTGGCGCTCCAGAAGGAGATGAAAGTGAAGCCATGGACGATGACGTGCCAATGGAAGTCTCAACTGGAACAGACTCAGTGACAGACATAGTGGAATTTCTCAAGACAGAGCACTTGAAATGTTTGCAGAATGGTGACCTCTGGGATGCCAATGAAATTCAACACACGATTCTTGGTTTCTTAGAGGAGGCCAGAACAGAGAACACGAGTTCAATGCTTGATCGCTGCAAGCAGAAGGTGGTTGAGATGTTTGAGGAAATGTACAAAAAGGCGACAGAGCAAAACCGATGGGAAAGTGCAGATCATTACCAAATGGTAGCTGACATGTACCGAGATGGATGAGACAGAATTTTCCTGGCAGAGTTTCTTTTCAGATACAAAAGCTGGAGAGGAGCGTGAAGCAGAATGGAAATGTGTATTGCAGAGCTAAAGGCTACAGCAATACAAGGAGGAGTGAGAAATATTTTCACTTCACCATTTACCTTGAGAGACAGTCTGGAAACATTGCTGTGCAGGTATGCATTCAGGTTGAGTCCAGACAAACGCCAGTGGATGACACACACAAATCGAAACGAGAAGTGTACAAAGATTCATCCATAGCACATAAACTGATGTGCATACTTCAGGCCCCTGAGGTTCAAAATAGTGTTGCTGCCCGCTTCGCAATTGCAGACATCGCGAACACTGGATTCATCTTACCCCGAAATGGAAATAAGTGACCAGCTTAGGGCGCGCTGCTGCGGACGTGTGGCTCAATATGAGCTGCATATCGTTTCCGAAAAAAAACATATATTTATTGTGCATATGTATATATGTATATATACACATATATATATATATGTATATATATATGTATATATATATGTATATATATATATATATATATGTATAAATATATATGTATGTATAGATATATATATATATATAATATTTAAATATGCGTATGCGAATGGGCAAGCGGAAGGATTCAGGCTTGAAATGTTTTAGGGAAGCGCCCCAACAGCGGGGTAAGGATAAAAACATGTTTCCGCAACCAGGACAGCGTAGCAGGTGCAGCAGCTTCGAGTGCGGTTGGGCAACGCCTGCCTGCTGAGGTTGATCAACCAAGCTTGGGTGCCGGAAGTTTATGTATTTGTTGATACATCTTTTGGAAAAGATAAAGAACAAATCAATGATGTTTCTCCGGACACTGTTCTTTGAAGTCGTATGTATTCATGCTTCCACCAACAACCAAACCCCTCATAATACCTCGCAATACTTTCAGTTGTCCTCATCCTACTCATCCCAAAATTGTTACTCACATATATTGTCATAGTTGAACGCAATGTAGCCGCACCTTTTCGCATTTCTTACCAAACCATCATTCGCATTGTTCTCGCAAGCTGCAAGTGATACAGGTCTCTGGGAAGGATAACTCGAGTGCCGAGGCGGACGAGGCATCTGTGATTCTGCCTCAACCTCCTAGAGAAAATCGTGCTCTCTGTCCAGCCTAACAGAAAAAATGACAAAAACAGGGTGACACTACTTGACAGAATAGGATTCTTGAGCTCAACTGGTTTGGCAGGCTACCAAGCTCCAAGCCAACATGACGTTTGTCATCCAAATTTTCAGGTGCCCATTAGATTTACCTTATCCAATTTTGAATTTTGATGGCCGTTGGCTATCATTTTGGTACTTCCTCTTCCTATCATTTGAAAACCGGTTTGACTCCAGGATGCAATCCGTGGAATAGCATCAGTGGCAGTTGCGCAAAACTTTCAAAATGCCAAGGCCAGGGTTGAAGCTGAGAAACTAACACGTTTCCCTTTTGACAGGGGAAAAGGCCAAAATTAAAAGGATCGTTTTAAACATCCAAGACTTCCCCATTATACCGTATTATTGTTTGTCGCTTTATGATGTGCGATGTTTTGTACATTTTTCTTGGTTTAGTTTCATTGTTTCATTGTGTCTGATTGGTACCGCTGTCTTTTTTTGCATGCTATTTGCATGCTTTGTTTCCATATATACCTTTCCTTTGAATTCTTTGTGTGTTGCAACTTTCGGCTTTTGGATGGACGTTGATTCTTGTGGATGATCTGCTTTCGGTTTCTCAAGTGTTGTTTATCCGTCAGCGCACTATGTTGCCTGTTTGCCTCTCTTCTTCTTTTTCTCTGGGTGTCTTTCTTCTTAGAATGAGAGAATACTGGAGTTGATGGACAAACTACAAGTTGAGGTTGCTGCCAGCGGCTACCAAAGTGCCAACAGTGTGGCGGAGGCGTGGAAATTGGACCCATTGAAAAAGATCCAACAGCTGGTACCAATGACCCTAAAAGCGGGCTGCCATTGGCACAGACCCAGAGGAAACTGCGAGCTTGAGGAATGGCAAGTACATATGAGCACTTGTGTTGTGAAATGAACATGTTTTTTCCTGGACTATTTGGAGATACAAGCACAGATACTGTATATTTCAGATGCTCTCAAAGTGGACCCGTCATGCTAGCTGCTTTGTGGTAGGATGCAGCACGCGCAGCAGCCTCTGTGGCCGTTTCGCAATGCTTGCAAAATGCGAAGGCCCGATTTACCCACTACTGCGCGATGCAAGGAAGTTTGCGTGTTGACAAGAGCTCCCACGTGTTGCAAAAATGTATCAAGTGTTGGACGCAGGACAGCATCATACAAGGTTTACAAATGATTTGTAGTCGGTCAGAGACTGGCCAAGATTTTAGTTTCATCCAGACTGGCGTCTCAGCATACAGTATACTAGACAATGATCAGAGGGGCCAGCGTCCTTAGCGTCCAAAAAGCCGATATAAGTTTTTGTTTCCGACCTGGATTTTAGTTGCCTTTCTCTCTTTACTCTCCTCTCTATATCTGCATCTGTGTGTCTCTCTTCATGAGAAAAATATGAAGTCCATGTATTTGAAAGGTGTTCCTTGTCTTAGCGTGGTGTAGTATGCCGGAAACATGAGCTGGGACGAAGTGAGGGAAATTGTGAATGGTCTTACACCGTAATCTTTTCTCTAATCTGTATCTGACAGTCTGTTCTTCTACTGTACCTTTTGTGCCCAATGAACATCTTGCTAGATGTGTTGATCTAATGTTTTGATATAAGAAGGCCAATGGCAAAGCAGGTACAGCAAGTGAACACATTTCATGCAGTCTGCCTCGGCAAAACTGACGTGTTTTCTCCTTTGTATTGTCAAGACAGAGTCTAGACTCTAGACACTAACTTGTCCTTTGCCACAGAGTCATTGCTTCAGTGTTGTAGGTCAAGAGTTGCAGATGTTGAGAAAAGCCGAGAATATGAACACTGAAAGAGAGAAGCACATGAAGAACAGATTCTAACAGTGGGCCACCACTTCTAGATCTGGCTGTATTTCATGATAAGCATTCACATTGACAGAATATCGTGGTTTCTACTGGATGTTGTGCCACGGCGAGCTCATGACAAGTACTTGCGAAGAACACCACATGCTAAAATGATCGAAGGAAGTTTAAAAGTCAAGCTTCCGACAACATGGACAGATTAAAAGCAGAGATAGGAAGAGTCAGAGAAGAGAAGAGCAGAAGAGAGAAGATTAAAAAGAGAAAGTCTCAGAACAAAGAAGATGCAGGTGCGCAAAAAGGTAGGAAAGTCGCGAAACACGGTATTTTTCCAATGATTTGTGGCTCCGGAGGGTCAAAAAGTAGGCTCGCTAAAGCAGCGGGTGCGGAGCCGGCTGGCCAGATGAGAGATGAAAAATTGCACGCCGTTGTGGCGCGAAGCACATTTCGAAGTCAAAATGTACAAAGCACACCAGCTCCGGACCACTTTTGGAAGTTGCGATGTCGAAAAAGTGCACGCAGTTGTGGCGCGAAGCACATTTCGAAGTCAAAATGTGCAAAGCACACCAGGTTCGGACCACTTTTGGAAGTTGAGATGTCGAAAAAGCGCACGCCGTTGTGGCGCGAAACACATTTCGGAGCCAAAATGTATAAAAACACATCAGGTTCGGACCGCTTTTGGAAGTTGAGATGTCGAAAAAGGGAAGTCAAGATGTATAAAGCACCACATGTTCGCGCCACTTTTGGAAGTTGAGATGTCGAAAAAGTTCACGCCCTTGTGGCGTGAAGCACAATTCGAAGTCAAAATGTACAGAACAACACCACATGTTCGCTCCACTTTTGGAGGTTCAGATGTGCTTCCGCGTGGCAGGCGCAAGGGATTGTGCACCTTCTCAAAAGTGAGCAAAACGTGAGGGTTTTGTAGCATTTCCAAAAACGATGGCAAGCGTGGGGCATGTGACGAGGATCTGCAAAGATGCATTTTCCGTGGCAGGCGCAGTACAAGAGACATCTTCATCAGAGCTGTTAGGACGTCCAGGCGGTGACTTCCTGAGAGGGGTTGCATTTTGGAACATGATCTTCAGGTTTGCTGAGATGATTTTGCGTGACAGGTGCAGCACTTCGTATGACCTGGCATCACTTTTTCGTGGCAGGCGCAGTACTTTAGAAAGGTGGACTGGAAAAATCGCAAAACGTATTGGTACGAGGCCGTCAGCTCTGCCCGCAACTTTCCATTTTTGAAGGAAGTCTCGCAGAATTCTTTCGTTTTTGATGTTGTCAACTTCGAAAAATGAGGAAGTCTCGCAGCATTGTTTCGTTTTTGATGTTGTCAAGTTCAAAAATTGAGGAAGTCTCGCAGAACTGCTTCGTTTTTTATGTTGTCAACTTTGAAAAATGACGAAGTCTCGCAGAATTGCTTCGTTTTTGACGTTGTCAAGTTCAAACGTTGAGGAAGTCTCGCAGAATTGCTGCGTTTTTGATGTTGTCAAGATCAAAACCTGACGACATCTCGCAGAATAGCTTCGTTTTCAAGCTTGCAGATAGACAGGAAGATAGACAGGAAGATAGACAGACAGACAGACAGACAGACAGACAGATAGATAGATAGATAGCTAGTTCAAGACCTGAGGACGTCTCGCAGAATAGCTTCGCTGCCAAGCTTGCAGATAGACAGGAAGATAGATAGATAGATAGACAGACAGACAGACAGACACAGAGATAGATAGATAGATAGATAGATGGATGGATGGATGGATGGATGGATAGATAGGTAGGTAGGTAGGTACGTAGGTACAGAGGTAGATAGATAGATACAAAGTTAGATAGACGGATGAGATAGATAGATAGCTAGATAGATAGATAGGTAGATAGATAGATAGATAGCTAGAAAGATAGATGGATAGATAGACAGCTAGATATATAGGTAGATAGCTAGATAGATAGATAGATAGATAGACAGCTAGATATATAGGTAGATAGCTAGATAGATAGATAGATAGCTAGATAGATAGATAGATAGGTGGATGGATGGATGGATGGATGGATGGATGGATGGATAGATAGATAGATAGAAATATAGATAGCTAGATGAGAGAGAGAGAGAGATAGATAGATAGATAGATAGATAGATCGGTAGGTAGGTAGGTAGGTAAGTAGGTAGGTAGGTAGGTAGGTAAGTAGGTAGGTAGGTAGATAATCAGAGAAAGAGAGAAAAAGAGAGAGAAAGAGAGGAGACATCAATCACCTTTCGATCCATCAGTGGCTTCGCTCTGCCATCCGTGATTCACAACAACCAACCTCTCCTATAGGTTTCCTATTTTTGAAACTTCCGCCACCGCCTTGTGCGGTACTACTGGTACTGAAAAACACGAGGAGACTAGCTTCTTCTAGTGATGGCAACTAGAAGTGCTGCTAGGCTAACATTCTAGGCAGAAATGCTGTGATCTTCCTGCATGCTGCAGATTTGTTGAAGGGAGATGACGAATTTGTTCGATGAAAACCCCTTTCTGTACACATAGGGGCTTGTCCGATAGTGTGAGCATCATCCAACGTACATTTGGAACGCAACTCCGAAGCTCCCCTCTTGGGGTAGGGGAGGGGCGGCGGACCAAGAATAAAGCAAACAAAGACCGCAAAAGGTGGGGAAATGTGTGGGGAGGTGGGTGGCTGACATGGTTGCCATGTCTTTTTTTGGTTTCCCCTCACCGTACCCCCAAAAAAATAGAAATTGTGTACTGAAACCAGTGATGCATATGGAAAGTACACTACCTGGTATCAAACAAATGTCAGCGGAGAGGGTTGCTACTGTAGGGTTGCCAAATTTTTGGTTTTAGTTGTATTGTTGTATTTTTTTTGTGCGTGTGACAGACATCCAGAGAAGACTAGTAGGAAAGAGTGCAATTGAAGAAATGAAAACAACATATCACAAAAAAGGAAACGATGAACAACTGCACTCTCACAGCTCTACTATCAGAATGATAAACATCTTAGCTTAGGTCTTGAGGTTCTTTTTGTAACCAGTTGGGACACGGACCCATCCAAGATCTAGTATACCGCCGGACTGAAAGTTAGAATGCCATTTTGGTGGCGGCAAGTGGATTTAGAGATCCATTTCCGCGTACCGCGTGAGAAATTCGGGAGGCATTCTAACCCTATTTATTTAGTCCTGAAACCCCTAAACAAATCCGGGACGGCATTCTAACCCTGTTTTTGTAGTCCTGAAGACCCCAAAACTCCAAAATGTATACTACAAATATGCAGAATATGCATGAAATCGACCCAACAATACAATGAAAAATAATGAAAAACATCTTTAAAACATTGAAAAGTCAATGTTAAAAATGATGAAAAACTTGTAGACACATTGAACAATCAATGAAAATTAATGAAACACATCTTGAAAATAATGAAAAATCATTGACAAATAATGAACAACATCTTCAAAATAATGAAAAATCAATGAAAACAATCTTAAAAATAAAAAACACTGAACAATAATGAAAAACATCTTCGAAATACTGGAAAATAACGGAATGCCATCCCGGATTTTTTAAAAGGGGTTTCAGGACTAAATAAATAAGGTTAGAATGCCTCCCGGATTTCTCACGCGGTACACGGTTCTTTTTTGAAATCCATGTCTTTCCACCAAAGTGACATTATAACTTTCGGTTGTACCATATAATTGGGAAAAAAACAAATGAAAAATAATGAAACACATCGTCAAAATAACGAAAAACCCCTGAAAAATAATGGATCTACCCATGATCAATAAAAAAATGTCACAATATGCAGAAAAAATGCAATATCGTCATCCGCCGATCCAAGAACACCTCGTTCACTCACATCTGATATATATATATATGTATACATGATTGTAAATGTACATACATACAGCGCATATATGTGTGTATAATGCCGTTTTCGGAGGTTACCATACTGTTTAATCAACATTTCATTATCGTGGAGAATACCGTGGGAAAATCTCCGACGGGCATTCTAACCCTATTTATTTAGTCCTGAAACCCCTAAAACTCCAAAATTTTTAACCAATTTTTGACTGTCCCGTGTCTTCCATGTATATGGTTCTGCAAATATGTAGAATACGCATGTAAATTGCAAAAAGAAAACTACCCAAAAGATGATGAAAAATAATGAAACAAATTCTAAAACACTAAAAAATCAATGAAACACATGCAATTAACAACATTGAAAAATCAACGAAAAATAATGAAACACATCTTGAAAAT